GCCCCCCCCCTTCCCCGGGGGCTGTGGACCCCGTTCACCGACGCCAAGTCCACGGTCAGGGAGGGCAAGCTCCGTGTGCCAAGAGCGGCTGGGTCGGGATTTGACTCTGGCTCTAGGTCCTGCCAGGACAGGCTCTTCCAGGCACCTCTCCATCCTCTGTTTGTTCCTCCCATATATTCTTGCCGGGACAGCAGCATGACACACGGGCAGCCATCTCCAGACCCCTCCTGGCCCACCGGGGCCCCAGCCCCCGTCCCCTGGGTCCCTGATAGGAAAAGCGATGTCTAGCCCCGGAGACGAAGCGGTGTTTAGGGACCGTTCCCTTGAGCAGCGTGGCAGCAAGCGAAGTGTGGGGCAAGGTGTGCTGGACCCTGAGTGGTTACTCCCTTAAAAACCAAACTTTTCTAAAAACTTGGTTCTGCATATTGAAGATATTTTCCTACCTCTTACACACTTTCCAGCCTTTAGGAAGATACAGAGAGAACACACAGTCTGCCCTTGGCTTGGTTTGTTTTAAACACCGATGGCGCATAAGCTCCTGCTGTCCCTGCCGGGATCTGCCAGGAGGGCCGTTTGTCCCAGCCCCCACCCCCGCCCCGAGCGAGCCCTCCCCCCATCTAGTTGCGTGGGAACCAAGCTTAGGCCTCGCAGTCAGACCTCGGTTAAGGTCTCGCCTCTGCCGCTTACTGCTTGAAGCACCTCCACCTCAGTTCCCCACTGGTAAGGCTGGGCGGGGGCGCACAGTGACACGGCACCCAGGTTGTCGAGAGGACGCACGCGGTCCCAAATCCTCTTCCACCAGCACGCCACATGTAGTGGGAACCCAGCTCCTGATTCCCACCCAACACCTGCTCCCGCCTTCCCCTTTCTTCCCCCGGGGAGCCCGGTTTCAGCCAGCATGTGTCTCCAGCACTCAGTCTGGGGCCCCCCGAGCGGCCAGTCCTAAGTCTCTGCCCTGCTAATCTCGAGACCGAGTGAGTAAATGTGAGTGAAACACTCTGAGCAAGGACCGGACAGAGTCGCTTGGGAGTAGAGGCCTTCCCTTTTCATCTCCAGGGGGTCCTCGACCCTGGCCCAGGAAAGGCCTCTCCACATTCGCTCTTTGCTGTGTGCGGAGGAGCAGGTAGACCAGGGTGGGACCCGTGGGCAGGCTCAGGAGGCCTGTGTTCAGCCCTGCCCTGCCCTCCGGGTGGCTGTAGGGGTCCTGGGAGGGTCGGGCCAGGCACCGCAGCCACCCCATTGTTCCAGGATTCAGAGCAACTACATGGCGCTGCAGAGGATCAACCAGGAGCTGGAGGACAAGCTGTACCGCATGGTGAGGGCCACCACCCCACTGCCGCCTGGGGGACGGTGCTGGAGGCCTCCTGGTCCTGTATGGCTGGTGTGTCAGGGCGGGGCCGGGCGGGATCTGGCACCTTCCCTCTCCTTCTAGTAGGTTCCGGGCTTGTTTTGTTTCTGAAAATCACAAATGGGCCTTCAACACCTGCTGTCTTAGAGTCTGTCGGAGCAGAGACAGCGCTGCTTGGGACCCCGGACAAGGGCCCTTGCCTCTCTGAGCTCAGGTGGAGGCTGAAAGAGGACAGGCTCAAGGCAGGAGGGGGTGGGGTGCAGGGAGAGGGGCCAGGCTTTGTGCTGAGTGCAGACTCAGGAGGTAGGCATTACTGTCCCCGTGGTGTGGATGAGCAAGAGGCTCAGGGAGCCAGTGACTTGCCCAGGGCGGTCTGGCTGGTCCGTGCTGGAACACAGGTGGATTTGAACCTGGTGGTCTGTGCTCCTAACCCCACCTTCCTTGGCCTTGCAAACACCTCATCGTTATCGACTGCAAGAGGGCACCCGGGAGGCCTATGGAGCAACTGGACTTGAGGCCCAGGCCTTGGCTGACCCCTGACTGGCTCCTTCCCATACCCCCCGACCCCTCGCCCCAGGGCCAGCACTATGAGGAAGAGAAGCGAGCGCTGAGCCATGAGATTGTTGCCCTCAACAGCCACCTGCTAGAGGCCAAGGTGACCATCGACAAGCTGTCGGAGGACAATGTGAGTGTTGGACCACCGTGACCCTGGGGGCCCAAGCCCAGGCCCCGTGGCCTCCAGGCTTCAGGGGCTGGTACAGGCAAGGTGGAAGGACAGGGCTCCCTCACCAGACATACACTGCCAAGGGTATTCAGGAAGACCCTCTGCTGGAAGGAAATAGGGCTTGAGGTAGCTGCCCCTGGGCCATATTATCCCATTCAAGGCGGTGCTTCCTGACCCCAGGTTTGGGGCATGCTCGCTCCTGCCCCAGCCAGCCCCCGTGGGCATCAGAGCCCATGTGGATGCTCTGATTTCAAGGGCCCAGCCCCACTCAAGGACCCCTGACAGCTGACCACACATTCACTAAGGAATGTCTGCTTCTTGCCAGGCCTGCTGAGGCTGTGAGATCATGGTGTGAACGACGCAGGCAAAACCCCTCCCTGCCCACGTGGAGTTTACACCTGAGCAGGGAAGACGGCAAGCAAGATAGATACGCAAACCGCGTAGCGTGTTAGAAGTGCTGAATGCCACAGGGAAAAACAACACAGCAAACGGTGCTAGGGAGTCATTTGGGTGCTTCTGGAAGAGGCTGCTAGATCAAGACCTGAAAGTGGCCAGAGAGGTGGCCACGGGCACCGGGGGAAGAGCCTTCCTTCCGGTGGAAAGAACCGGAGTGGCAGAGGAGGGCCTGCAAGAACAGCAGAGGGGCCTCCTGGCGGCCGGGGGGGGGCAGGGCAAGGTCTGAGGTCAGAAATAGAACAAGAGGCCACACGGTGCAGGCTCCTCTAGGAATCTGGGTTTTATTCTGGATGAAGTAGGGAGCTACGGAAGGTTCTTGAAGAGAGGAGTAACATGACTGGACCTACGCTTTTCTGGGCTCACCGAGAACAGACGGTGGGGACAAGGGCTCAGCTTCTGGTTCAAAGATGGAACCCACGGCATTAACGGGGATTTTGGACATGGGGTGTGGGGGAAGAAAAGGGTCCAGCCCAACAGCAGGGTTCAGAGCCCGAAGGAAAGAAGCGACCTGCTGTCTCGGGGTGGGTGTGTGCCTGGGGAGGAGCAGGAGTGGGGCTGGACTGGGCACTGGACAGCTGCAGGGCATGCCCGGACGGCAGGGTCTGGAGTTGAGGGCGGAGATTAGCGTGCAGGTGCGGTGAGGAGGGAGAGGAGTGCAGGCAGAGGAGGGGGAGGCCCCGCACAAGGCCCGGGGCCACGCTGGGGGCTGCGAGGGATGCGGTGGCGGCTCTGAGCTGGCCAGCCAGTGCTCACGGCCCCTTGAGGCCAGGGGCAGGGAGTCTGGGGCCTCACGGGGGATCCATTCTCAGCTTTTGGCCGACTGTGCCCTTCCCAGGGGACTCAAGGAGACATTGCGGAGGCTGGGGACCCAGTGTCTCTCCACTTGGCAGGCCAAGCTGGGGGCATGAGGCTCAGCGTAGATGGTGGAGGTGGGGGAGCCTCCAGGAACGGGGGGCAGGGGGCAGCGGTGCCCGTGCCTTCCATAGCCCGTCTCCGCTGCAGAACACCTGGTCCTGGTTGAGCTGAGACTGGGGGGAGCAGGAGGGTCTCGGGGCCCATTGGTGGACCCCAGATTCCTCGCTGTCAGAGCCCTCACAGCGGAGGACCCCCAGCTGGGGGGCAGGAGTGAAAGGCCCAACCACAGGCACATGCAACAGAGATTTTCCAAAGATGGAAGCAAATCCTCTCAAGTCCTACTGTTTGCATCTGTTTTCGGCTCAGGAGGCTGAGTCCGTCCCTGCCCGGACCTTGGGTCACACAGGCCCTCTGCCCCTCTCCGCCCTGCCCCTCACCCAGCCCTGCAGCCACCCCCATAAGCAGGCCACACTTTAGGAAGGGGGGTGTGCGGAGCAAGTCTGAGACGCGGGGAGGCAGGGGCCGCGGGCACGTTCCTTACCACTGGCTGGTGCCGGCACAGTCCGCTTTGGGAGGGGGGGACAGGAAGACCAGGCATGCTCTCCATGCCTGGGGCCTCTGGGAGTTCAGGGGCCACTGGAGGCCCTTCTTCCACCACCGCCCCCACCTTGTGGGAGGTTCCCATCTGGGGCGGCAGCAGAAGTGCCTGGCAGGGCCCTCTCTGCCCCAGCGGCTCCAGGTCAGAACCGAGGCCCCAGAGTGCAGGCGACCGCCTGAGGCCCAGACAGGGTCCTGCCCGGCCTGCTGCCCAGCCGGCTCCCCCCACACCTGGTCTCCGCGTTGGCCCCTGGGCGCCGGGCAGCAGGGACCTTGGCGCGGGGCGAGCCTGCACCAAACGCCTTCTCTTGTCTTGTAGGAGCTCTATAGGAAGGACTGCAATCTAGCGGCCCAGCTGCTGCAGTGCAGCCAGACCTACGGCAGGGTCCGTAAGGTGTCCGAGGTAACGTCAGCCCCGCCCCAGGGAGGCCAGCCCTCGCCCCAGGACTACTCGGGGCTCCTTTTCTGCAGGTCCCACCCCAAGGCCACTTCTCCCCTTTGAGGGGAAGGCGCTGGGTGAGCCTGGAGCCCCCATCCCTCCTTACTCCTGCAAGTATCCTGGCTTTTCTGAACATGGTGGAGGGCCACCCCCCACACACACCTCCTCATCCATCTGGGACAGCCTGCCCATTCCCTTTGGTTTCCTCTGGGGGCTGCTCCTTGTCCCTGCTCCAAGGCCTCAGTCCACTGTGCACTGATGGGGCAGAGTGATCCCGACACGGGGGTGACTCAGCCAAGGCCCCAGGGCCCCCCACCCCTGCCAGGCTGCCCCAGCTCCACGCACTGCCCTCACCCAGACCTTGGTCCTCCGTGTCCCCTCTCGCCTGGGCCTGGGCCACACCTAAGACACTCACAAAATAGATCAAACAGTAGTGGGACGGCCCCATGAGGCACCAGGGGCTGGTGCAGAAGCCGCTGGTCGCCTGGCCCTGAGTCTGTGTTGCATCTGAGTCTGTCTTGTTCAGGAGCACCCAGGCCTCATGACCCAGCAGGGGTGCCCCCGACAGACCTCAGGGCTGGGAGAGCAAGTAAGCCTCTTGGTGGGAGGAAATGAGGGGGGCTGCAGCCCCGAGAAGGGCCCAGGTCAGACCCTGGTTCCACCCTCTGGGCTCTTCAGGCCCAGTTGTTGTGGGCTGGGGAGACACAGGTGACCGGGGGTCCTCGGGCGAGTCTCAGGAGCTTGTGACATACAGAGTCCTGGGTGCTGGCTCTAGCCGGTGCAGTTTGAGAAGCCCTGGGCAGGTCCCTCTTCTTCCATGTGTGCATCTGTTGGTCACGGTCAGGGCTGCAGGTGCCAGGCTGACTGCTACCCCTGTCCCTGCCCTCCCAC